CATATACACACACATACACACATATACATATACACACACATACACACGCACACACACACACACACACACACACACACACACACACACAGTAAAAGGACAACAAAGATCTACACCCATGTGTGATGGCTGAATGCCTCATTCCAAAGCCATGGGCATTAATATGCCGCCATCACAGCCTCCACTCTTCTGGGAAGGCTTTCCACCAGATGGTCGTATTTAATTTGTCTCGTTTAAACATGAAAGGGCCTTCCCCAAATTGTTGTCACAAAGTTAGAGGCTATGGAATGCAATTTCCTTCAATATAAATATATAAACTAAATAAATGAATAAATATGCCTATGAAATAAAAGTGGGAATAAACAAATGAGGCAAATAAATATATACATAAATAAATATAGAAAACAATAAACAAATAAATGGTTTATACTAGTAGTTTTAAAAGACTACTTTTATTTTATTCATAGCCATGTTTATTTATGTATTTAATGTTGAAAATAAATGGCATTCCATAGAAATCACCCTTTAGTATAAAATGTAAATGTGAACATTTTTCATATTTGGATTTAAGGCCCCTGATCAAAAACACCCAAAATATGTGGACAAGGTTGCACATACTTTTGCATATTCTTATTTTCCTTTTATTATACTCAGATTTTGACAACTGTGAAGTTGTGAAGTCAATAAGGATGAACAGAACGCCTTTAGGATGCAGGTTACCTTCAGCTGCGGCCACATGGAGGGCCGTTCTAGAGTCGTAGTCCCTCTGCTCCATGTCCATGGCTGACAGTGCAAACCTACACACACACACACACACACACACACACACACACACACACAGAGCTTGTTTAACTAACTTTGTCAGTACCTTCAACTATTCCGCATCTTAAGATCTTTTATGGGAATTCCCATAAAAGAGGTTATTATATATCTGGTGTGCTCAGGGGGACACAACTCCACCAACTTACAGACTGCAAGGGTGTAAACGTATATATAAACCATTCTTATACGGTCTATCTTTCAAACATCAAAAAAATGCAAATGTATTGTGATTAAGGAAAGGCATGCGTGAACTCAAAGATACATACGAGTACTCAAAGATGCATACGAGTTTTGGTAAAACTCCACTAATCAGTTAAACTTCCTCTTGCTGCCACTTGAGATCACCAGTGTGTAAGAGAGGAGAGCATGTCTGCCATCTTTCTGTCTCTGTGAGCGTCACAGTTTATGTTTTAAGAATGGACTCCTCTGGCTGATAAAGGTGAAATTAGCATGAATTCTTCTGTGGCCAACGTTACAAGTTAGTAAATGTAAAAAAGAAAAGAAAAAAAGTTGACCTCCTCAGTGCAGAGGCGTCTCCTGTGTAGGCAGCAAACAGCAGGTTGATGACAGACTTGACCTGTGGGCAGAGACAAAGAGAGAGAATATTTGGAGGACCACAGACTCACCCTATTTCCACTACCGCTCCACCAACTCCAGCAAGTTAAACCAAATTATATTTCTATTTTTACGAGGGACTGGAAGGTATAAAACAGGAATGACTTCACATATCACTGATGGGGACTCGAACACATTTAACTTCAAAGCAGTTTTGAGTTTCAGGGTCTTTCATTGTCATATCAAACTTAGAGGATGAGGTTGGTTTTATTCTATAGTTTTCTTACGGTCAACAGATCCCATGAAAAAAGAAAGAACATTAGTCCGTCTCTCAGTACTTCCAGACTTCCCCGTCTGCGAACCTCAGACCCAAGCTACTGAAGACGTACATTCAAAAACTGCTCTTGTTTCATTATAAAAAGATCAGTCATTTCTTAGAACAACGGGTCTTTTAGCAAACGTTAAGAGAAATCAGGAGTAAAATAGTGCATTTGTTGGGGACTATTTTCAGCTGCGTATCAATACACATTTGGGAGCTCTGGTGAGTATTTACGGCAGCAGGGTGGTGTATGCGGGATTGTGGAAAATGACCTACAGTGTGTCTGTTCATGGTAATGAAGTAACATGTCCCCCAGTGCAACAGTGTGGCTCATTGATGTGTTTTTAAATGGACAACGATGGAGCTTAATGGATACACAGACAATGCTAGTCAGTGGGATCAATTTAATAATAGTTTGTCTTTTCGTGGAATTTGTTGACGATGAGAAAAATACACTTAAACCAGAAGTTGGATATCACTATCTTAGCGCTACAAAATGATGAATCGTGTCCTATAAGCAACACTTCAGGAGTTGAAAACAAAGAAACTTTGGAAATGTGAGTGAGAATAGACGCAAAGCCCTTATAGGTATTTCAATCCAGGCTCAGAGAATGTATCACACTATTCCAGTATAATATTATACTATGGATTAATAAGCAAGGGAATTAGAATGAATATGACCTGAGATGTTAACTTGCTGTGAACCTCGCAGAGAAGGATTTTTCAAACTCAAAAAACAAAAGAGTAGTAATAGTGTTTAGTGCAACAAGGGAACAATTCGGTATACACAAACTTCACCACTGCAAGAAGCACCACATCACTTTGTAAACACAGAAAGCCAATATTTCAGCCCATGCAGCAAAAAGGAACCACCTCACCAGTTACAACTATCAACAGCCAAGCTGAAGCTAAACGTCAAAGGAGTCGAAAAAAACACTGAAAGCAAATACTCTCGCAAATGATTATGTCAAGATTAGAAGGGCAGAAATCGAGACCGAAGAGAAGACAAAGAGGAACAAAACTATGTTGGCCTCATTTCACCCAAAGCCTCACTCCAGTAAGGCTCATTAAGAGGCCAATCCCGGCTTCAGAAACAGACTCAGAGAGAAAACCTGTTAAAACACGCAACAGACAAACACCCACAACTTCAGTTCTCTGTATTTCAGTTCATCGGAGCGCGAGGGTATTTAATTAAATGATTTCATAATGTTGCTCAAGAATGCATGAGAGCTTTTATCAGATTGGGTCAGTCACATGAAAGTTAGAAAACCATCTTTTTGTCCTCTGCACAAAATGTTAGATAAAGACACTTACCCAAAGAAATTACTTACTTTGAGAACTTTTAAACAGCTCGTGGGCCGCCCCTGAACTGAACTCTTCTCAGACTGCTTGGATTCACATCATGTTTAAACTCGCAGTACAGATTGTTTGAAGCCACTAATAATTTAAAGCCAGTATCCAAACTCACGTCATTGAAACAGGGTAAGTTAAGGTTCTCAATACGACATTGTGAACCTTGATGTAGCAGCAAACAACTATTTGCGATGTAAAGATAGATAGTGGAGTAATGTCTGCCTGAGCAGAGGAGGACTGAATGCTTTTAGTTCGTGAAAGCAGATCTTCTTCACGGCAGGATTGAGGAATCTGTGTAAAAGGAGCCGATGTTCATCTTCCCAACATTGCTCTCTTGTGACCCCTGAAAATAAAAGCTGTCATCATGCGACCATTCGTCACAAATTTTGCAACCAAAGACTTGTGAGTAAAGTCAATGCTCGGAACAAATCCCTGAAAAAATATTCAGGAGTAAAACCCACGTTCCTACGTGACGATTTGTTTCTGGTAGCGGTGACTGAACTCAAACGATAAACCCCTGCTGATGCTAAATAGATACATAGTTTGTTGTTAAAGAACGGTTACAGGCGCAGAGAAATCAGACATATAATAGTACTTTATTTAATTTTATACAAAGGACACCAAGGCTAAAAAAAAAAATCTTAACACCCACTTTCACCGTCATGTTTGCAAGTCCATCACAACCAAAGTCACTGAAGTCTTTGACAAGTTCATGTCTTAGTGCCGTCTTCTAAAAGCGGACAGGACCGATGAAGATTATGGAGACTTTACATACAGAATTACAACCATGTGGACTGAGAAAAGAAACCAAAACACAGAAACGTTAGGCGGTCATGAGCGTGGAGCTGCATGGCTTCATCTATTGTCTGTTTGGAGACTTTACAATGGAACAAACCCATGTAACAACTTTCCAAACGTTCATATAATAAATCATACTTGTTGAACTACTCATAAATATCTGACCAAAACATTGGAGAACCTCACAATTCCAAGGTCACCAAATTGCAATGGTAGTGATAGTTTAAAAATGTGTATGCAAATTCCATGTCACAAGCAAAATTGATGTCCAAGACACGAGTCAACATAGATAAAGACATGTGGAAGGTAATCAATTGAATTTCAAACAGATCGATTACATGGGATTAAAAACATTTATTAAAATCATACAAAAATATGCATGCAAGATGGAGAATGACAATTCATACAAAAAAACAATAAATGAACACCAGGAAACATTACATACGTGACATGAAGCATAACAATCGGATGATTCCCATGGAAAGGGTAACTGCATTCAAAAGCCCCCCTGTCATGAGTCTGATTGTACAGAATAATAATCACAGTTTGAGGAGAGAGAGAGGGGTTGCCAGTTACAAACTTAAAGTGTTACAGGTTATTTACCCTCATGCAAGGCAACCCTCGGCTCGTCGGTCTGATTTTTCCAATCCAAAGATCGGATAATCAGCTCTGATTGGTTGCATTAGTGTGAGATCAGTCTGTGGACATGCAGACACAGTATTTGAGATGTTGTGCCAATGACCCAGTACTGCAGCAGCAAAGAGAAAACAAAGAGAAGTTTGCACCGTGTTTACTAACCGATTCCCTTCACTCTCACACCAGAGAGGCAAAACCGAGGTCGAGATGAGATGCTGAAATGAGAGCTACTCTTGGAACCTGATCACATCTGAGGTGAAACGGAGTATTCAGGACTCCATTACTGGAAAAACAACTGAAGCAAAATGAAGCAGGCTTTAGCATCATGAAGGACATGACAACGATTACATCAGCGCTTCTGGAAATCCCCTACTTGTGCAGCGTTTGCGCAATGGTTATAGCAGATGAAATACCAGCAATAAATTGTATCAAAAATTAGGTTTGATATGGAAGTTTTAAGGATTATAACTTTCAAAAAAGCCTATTACTACTTTCAGTACCTCCTAAGAGGGTCCACTGCAAAACCTTTAGCGGGACGCAACACGGTCCGCGGATGAAATCTTTCAAAGAAACCAACAGAACCAACTCGACTTCTTGCTTCCTGTAGGAAATGTTTCCAACGAGCATGACTGATGACGGAGGCTTTTGAATACTTCTACCTCCACACAATAACCAGTAGAAACATGAAAACACACGTTATGTTAACAGAAATCCATGATATGAACAAAAAAATAAAAAGTTATTACATGACATCATTGGCTCCAGCAGCCATCACTTTGAGCTTGAGTCAAACACACCACTACAGTTTGAAGAATGATTGAACAACAAACAGATCGACCCTTAATACTACTAGACACAGTAGAGCGACACATAAGGCAGCTGCTGACATGACATTCATGTGCAAGTGTTTCTAGTTCCTGGAGGAGACGGTGTTAAAAAAAAACTTGGAACGTCGGAAGTGTATTTTCAACAAACATTGTGGTCTGCTGTTGAGGATCATGACTCATGTACAGACGCGCACCTAAAAGCTATATACACCCGCCACTATGTACATTCAGAGGAACAGCTGCTATGCATGTGGAAAGACGTTTTTGATAATGTACAAGCTTATTAAAAGAGTAACGCTTTAAGAACTTTACAAACAATACTGAATACCTGCTGTGTGTGTGTGGGCATACGAATACTCAAAATACACTTTTTGGTTTATACGGATAAACATTTCTGGATCAGTAGACTTGAGGCATCCAACTCAATTTGATAACATCTAATAGATATGTAGTCCCAAGTCCCCCCCCCCTCTTAAAGTGTATTATACCCAAAAAGAAAACAATAAAAAAAATAAAAAAAACTGCTGCTGCTTTTTCCCCTTAAAGCTTTTAACCCATTAATCATATAAACAATTGTTATATTTTAAATCTGCAATGCTTCAGATTCTGGAGGAAAGCGACTTCATTCCTCCACTAAGGCATCCTGTTTCGACCTATTGTTGTCTGCAGTGGGTTTGGAAAGCAGCCCAGATAAACGCTGCAGTCACTTGCTCACAGCAGAGAAGGTAAAGGTGGTACGACAACTGGTCGGGCCGCTACGAGAGGCTTTACCTCAAGGCCGCGGCATTGAACACACGCCACCGCTCTGCCAACATCATACTGACAAACATGGCATCCAGTCTCTCTCTCTCTCTCACACACACACACACACACACACACACACACACACACACACACACACTAAACTCAACTGCAGCTCAGAAGGATGCAGCCAGTCCTGCGAGAGGCATGAATGAGGACACGTTAAGCGAGTCTCCATGGAGGAGTCTTGAAAACAGCTTGTTATAGTCATGTCACCTCTCTCCTGAGCAAACCTCTTATCACATTATCATCATATGATCAGAAAAACTAACTGCCCGGCACAAATACCTACAGGTTAAAGGTTGTTTTACTGCTTATCTGTCCAATATGCCAGTTCTGTTTAAGTGGGCTGTGTTTTCTAAGTGAACGTCTATTGTGTATTCTATTTCTTTTTTTTTTTTAAAAGCTATGAAGGGAGGCACAAACGATGCTAAATGTCAAAGTCATTCCAATGAATGAACACATACACATGTGCAGTTAAAAACTCCTGCAATTCTTTTTGCATACAAATAGACTCCAATGGAGAGTTTCCTCCTAATCTCATATCACAAATGTCTGTATTTATTCTACTTCAGACATCTTTCGGCAAGCATACTGCATTTCACAGCAAAGCCATATACATAAACATGGAACAAGTGCTTGTGTATTGTGAAGAAACACTTTAACATTAAACTACAAAAGAGGATCAGAGGGTCTTTGGTTCTTAGACTGTGTCTAACGTAAGTGACTCAGACAAGCCTTCACTTTTTGGGTTGATTCTTCTTCATAAAAACGGTCCAGCATGTTAAGATTGGAAAAGCAAAATACCTGCAATATTAACATCCCTTCAGCCCTTCATGGCTCACTTTTAACACAATGAGAAATTACATAATTTTAGTCATAACACTGCTGCACTCCAGCCCAGGCGTTCACAGCTAACTCATATGTCAACAATATTCTCCTTTGACCAAAAACTTCCCGTCAATAATCCTGAAAAAGAAAACCCTGCATTCTGTTATACTGATATTTTCATCACTGTACTGCGCTACATCCACCATCTGTACTTATGTTCTAATAACATCAAATATCCGGCCTCAGTGAACTATTATCTCTAGAACTGAATGTATATTTTAAGACTGCTGTCCTGACGCTCCACACGCGCAAACACACGCATACACGTCACAAAACTGAATTTCAAATCGACCCTTAGAATCTTATTGAAAAATGTAGGCTGACAAAAACACATTTTAATAAAAGGGGGTGATACTAAACAAGAGCACAACCTGTGCACCAGGTCTCACACTCACACACACACACACACACACACACACACACACGCACGCACGCACGCAGCAGGTGGAGGCTTTATAGTTCATTTGGAATTCATAGCAAAATTCAGCAGCAACCCATCTCATTTTTACCCATCACAAATAAAAACAAAAGAAGCTCCCGTGACTCTCCACAAACACACCAACTGCTTTACAGACAAATAATCTTCTACATAATTTATGTAAACATATTCGAGGGTGAGGAAAGGTGGTGGTGGTGGTGGTGTTTGTGCGAGAGGTGGAGAGAGAGATCAGTGGAGGTGGGGGTGTGGGGGACAGGCGGGTCTCCCTTCTTTTGTTGTTTTTTTTAAAATTTAATTTCTCTCGGTGACATCGTCCATCCTATAGACTACAGTGGTGGAGCTGTCCTGGTGCGACTCGGTGGAGGACACCTTTTTCCAAAGAGGGGCTTTCAGAGCTAGCTCTTGCTGGAGGCTCTCGTAATCCATGGGTCCGATGGAGAACTGCTGTTTCAATTGACACGAACAACAAATTAGTCTCGCTCCTTCTGTGTGTGCGTATGTGTGTGCGTGTCGTGTCTTAAGTGGCATGTGGTTTGTCGTGAGTCCTGAGTGAAAAAAAACAGTCCATGTATTGATTTACTGGCTAAATTGCACATGTTTCAGCACTTTGCTTCTAAGGCAGACAGACTTTGACTCTAGTTTGTCATCAGAGTGGGCCTCCGTGCAGGGTGTCCGCCATAGAACTTGTTAGGCCCGGTGGCAAATGTCTTTTGACGGGGGCTCGGCACAGACTGATGGCGGTATTTGGGTAGGGCCCTATAGTTTCTATGACAACAGAATCACGGACGGAATCACGGATTTGAGAAAAGGCTAAAAACCATTTCAGAGTTGGAAACACTAACATTCAAAATGTGTCCAATTTTCTGTTGCAGTGCAAGCAATATAATAAAGGGGGAAGGGTCGTTACCTTACTGATCTCACATTGGAGCCAAGCCAGTAGTATTCTACATGTGTCTGAATGTAATAGAGCATCTTTGTTATTAATGACACTGGGCTTTGGTTATGACACCAGTGTTGATAAGCTGTATGCCTCACTGTGCGGAAGAGACTGGGATCAGTCTTTTGTGTGTAAGGCAACATCAGGTTTGACTTAAACAATGCAATTACTTTGTAAAACTAAATGTAACAGATAAATGCATAGACATAAATGAACTGAATTGTTATTTATTGAAATATTGGTATCTCGTACCAAAATCGGCTCGTTGTCACGGATCCCCTATCCAGTTATTTGAGTCAGTATTTGACTGATATCATTATCGGTGCATGGTTACTGTTAATGATATTTAACGTTAGCCAGCTCTCTCAATGTTTCCTATTATTGTCAGGAGGTGATGCTACTCACCAAGTTTCATGTGCCTTTGTGTCGTCTACAACACAGAGTCCATCGGGCGGATCAGTTACTGACATTTTGGCTAAAGTTTGCTAGGTACCGTTCTGCTTGGGATAGTTGGAAGTAAAGACCACTGATCTCGGACCTGCTGTTTACTTTATGTGCGGTCCAACCAACAGATGTCGCTGGTGAGTTTTCCAACCTCTATGTTTCCAAACGAGCCGCCCACTGCAACCGTACATTCAAAAACCTCTTAAAAATAAAAATATTCCCGATGCTCAGGCCTTCGCTAGAAAGTTAGTATGCCTGAAAACACCAGCAGCGATCTCCACAAGAGACAGAGCACCCGAAGATAGAGGAAGAAAGAGGACCAGGGTTATCCCGTTTTGCTCTTTATCTGAAATTGCAAATGTTTTTTTTCTGCTTAAGGTGGAGTGCAGTCATGGAGAGTGCAGTCATGGAGAGCAACACGTTAGCAAACAGCCGCAAACAGCAGTTAAATCTGAACTACCGTAACCTCGGCGTCGCCCGCATTCTTGGAGAGATAGTGTTCTGGTCAGTGTGTTTGATGAGGGAAATGGGTGGCGTTTTGGATGGTTTGTTCCTCACAACATGATGCCGTTTGTCCTTACCCGCTGGTCCCCTCCTTCTCTGCGGGGGTCGTGCTTTTTGGTAAAGTGCCTCAAGTTGTCGTAGTTGTGAAAGTTGAAAAGCTCCACGAGGTCCTGGAAGGAAAAATGAAGATTCATACATCAGATGGGTACGAGCCTGGAAGTTGAAAAGCCAATGATTTCGTTAGTGTAAACGTTGTGGAGAAAAAAAAAAAGCACATGAGCTGGAATCGGATTACATTTGCGGCAAAGGTGGATTCTTACTGAGCTCTGTATCTGGCCTCTAGGTAATCATTAATCAAGCATCACTTACTTATTAAACAGGGTCGGTTACTTTAGAAGTATGTCAGCCAAGTTGAATCAGTACACTGTTGCATAGTTTCATTTGTGACCATTTATGTACAAACAATCATTGAAGCCCCATTATTATAAAATAAAAATATATATAATTTATTATTAAAAAATTATAATGTATACACATACATATATATTATAAAATAATGTAAAGTTATATTGTCAAAATGAAAAAGAAAGCCGATACATTTCTTAGATTTAGTTCAATGCTGATATGTGTGTGTATTTATGGGTTAAGGTACCTGACTGCACTGAGTGACTATGGTTGTAGTACATCTATAAATATATGTATGGAATACAAATCACTCAAATGCCTTTTAACTCGGTTGGCACAGAGTGAGGCACGCCTCATGTCAAGCTATCATCAGCTCTGTTCAAGATGGATACAAACAATATATTTTCAACTCTTAAAAAAATGCTGCTGGGCTGTTCTTGGCCTTGGTATGTTTGTTTTGTACTCCATCCCAAACAGATAACACGAGTATTTTATCATATGATCTTTTTATGATGAATTTCGTCTTTAGGAGCTTCGTGATAGCCTATTTAAATTTTTTTTCTCTAATCCCTTTTCTTTTCCTTACTTGTCTCGAGACCGGCTCTTGTAGATATTTTTGTCAAGCTCCACCCAATTTGAAATGACATATTTTAAATATTTCTCTTGGTATGGTAGCTTTTCTTCATTATGTTGCGTATTTTAATCAATATCATAATATTCTTTCCGTATGTGATTATGTATATGTTTTCATGGTTATATTGTAGGCCTTTGGTGCCATGATGTGATGATTAGGATTCCTGAGGGAGGGTTGACATTTTTTAGGGTGACCTGATTGGTCAATGTTTGTCTCTCAACATATTTAAGACATGCCCCTATTGTCATTTAAAGTACCCGATGAGACTCTGTACCGAAACGCTGTCACCAAATGCCCGTGAAGAAGATTTTTTTGTTCTATATTGTCGACCGCAGGTGTTCGACTACTGCGCCTGTCTTTCTAAAAACTAGTGACGCAGTTATTTCTTGGGATTATGGATTCGAAGCGCACACTGCGGGCCTGCTGCGATCTGCTCTTCTGATGCCGGACATCACATACCGTGCAGAACTGTATTCCTCTGACGGAATTGCCCAGCTTGTCTAGTGGAGGTGACCAGCACATAATGCCCATCACGTTGGGTACAACCAGCAGGATCCCCCCCGCCACTCCAGACTTGGCTGGCAGACCGACCTACAACAGGGAGAACAGTTACATAACAGAAGATCAGCTGTGTGCATTTGCAGTCGCAACACGGCACAATGCTGGAAATGGAAAGTCAGCACAGAACAAGTCAACACAGCTTCAACAATTCATCGGTGAGAGAAATCTATCCACTGCTCCGCCTGTGACATTATGCTCAAACAGAATATGCAAAAAGTCATGATCAGTGGAGAGTAGATTCTCACTTCGGTGAAACTGCAGTTGGTCACAGTCGACTAAAACTTCATGAAAAACTGAAAAATATTTTCACACATTGCGCCTTCTCTACATTTTCCTGCCATCAAGCAGAGTCTCGTTAAAATGTGCCATCCTATCGGCACAAACACCTCAGCTCAGACAGACCATGTGATGTGACAGCTATGCTTTGCTGAGGCTTTGGTGTTTTGTCACTTATAAGCATAATACAAGCATACATGTCTATATCAAGACTTAAGAGTTTTCTGTTGTGGATAAACCATTCACCACTATTTCAAATTGTTTTAGTATTGGTAAAAATACAAAACAGATTTAGTAGATATGCAAGTACCAACTGACACAAAGCCTTGACATTATGTGTATAACTTTTGAGTGGGGCTCATAGACTGTATATAGCATGTGCACAAAATCACCATAATGACATCCATTTGGTTTGTGGACTGCCATTTTGAAGCCACGAGTTTGGCCTTTTGGCCATCTTGGTTTTTTAGGGTGAGAAGTGACCATATTTTTGGACAGGAATGTGGAGCTAGGAAGGGCAATAGAGAGAGCGGTCCCTCGTCGTATCTACCTTACACAACTGATAGTGACTTTGCAGTGACAATGTAATTTAGGTGTTCACTTCACTGGTTTGACTCTTTCCCACTAGAAAACAAAAACAAAACACATCCTCTACTATACTTGTGATCTGTGCCTTTTTACTTACATGGAAAGCAAACTGTCCTGAGAAGTCGTACATGCCGCAGGAGTGCATCAGACTCAAGGTGTTCCTCACCGCCTCGGGGCTCAGCACGCGCTCACCCGATATCGGGCAGATGCCGCCGTTAGCCAGGGTGGCTGCCATGACGCTGGCGCTCTCGCAGGTCACCTCAATGGAACACAGCTGGAGGTTCACACAGAAAAGGACAACTTGTATCATTTCTCCATCACAATTTTTCTTTCACTCCACACAGAAAGTCTCACGTCACGGCAGCCGAATGGAATCATGGCGGTGCGGGAACAGGAGAGCAGAAATGAGAACTCAAGTGGGAAGGTGAAAATTACAGTACAGTGGTGGTAGAGGTGACAAGAAAGTTAACAAAACTTAAATTAATATTCAGGGCTGAATACTATGTGAATCACATGTTACGGCCCTCACAACAAATCATTTTGATTTGCTTTATTCTCTCAATAAAACCATAAAAAGAAGAAGAAGAATTGTAATCATTCATTCTGTAGAGTTTCAGACACTTGGGCAATCTATGCCGAGGAGATCATGGTGGAGCCGCGCCTTATTAAGACACTTCACGTGAGACACGCCTTATTACCACCCGTCTGTACATGGAGAAGAAGCTAGATGTAGAATACAGGGAAGTAAACATGATGGCAAACAGAGGGAGTTTGACAGAAATACAGGGATATGAGACTACATTTGGGAGAGAAGCAGAACGTGGATCCATTCAGGAGGATCTCTGACCCTCAAATGAATGAGTTGAAAACTGATACTTGCTAGACTCACTTGAAAGTAGAAGTCCAGTACAGATGTCATGTCTGTCCCCTCTGGGAAACACTGCAGAGAAACAGAATATAAAACAAAAACATTCATCAAGTGCAGTACACGTGGTTGAATTTCCAGTTAAGAAAAGCAGACACATTTGTTAATGTTAGGAAACCTCTGCTTTGGTGAAAGATAACAAGTCTAATAAAAGGCGTACTAGAATCCAGCTTATTCCAAAGAGGCAAATGTAAACAAACAATTATGATCAATTGAGGAACACAAAAATATGTTGTTTTCTTGTATTGGGCCTCTGGCATCAACTTCCTCCACCTCTTACTTTCATTTAGTTTGTTTCCTTTCAGTTACTGCTTTTAAGTACAGACATGGTACACAAAGTCAGCAGTGACTCATCCAAGTTCAAACCTTTTTTTCTTTCAGGTAGTAGCCGATGGCAAAGTTCCTATCTCCTGACTCACGCTCCGACTGGAATCTGTCACACAAAGAGCAGAGAGCTCCAATTACATAGAGGAAGGAAATATTTGCACCGAGTGTGTGTGTGCGTGCGTTTGCACTCGTGTGTTGAAATGCCACCACCCCTCCCCTCATGTGTACAGTACAACCAGACCTCTCATGCTATCATGTGACGATAATACTGCAACGTGACCCCCAGCGCTCGGTCTTTTTCCGGACACATTGTTAGCATGTGGTGTCATCAGAAATCATGATCTTTACAACACTGATGCCAATTCCAATCCTGATAAAGTCCACCAATACAACAAATAACTCCTACTGTATGAGTAATATGGGTCATAGTTTGACCAATTTGATAACTGCAGTTAAATGGACATGAAGGTCCTGAGCATTCAAACATTAATAGCACCCTTGATCTTAGATAGCTTCTTTATCATCATCATCTTAGATAGCTTCTTTATCATGATCTTAGATAGCGTCAGGATGGCAAAATGGCATGGCAGTAACTAACACAGAGGTGGTTTTGCGTACTTTGCCAGGTGTTTACATTTCTGAGGATAAATTTTGTGACCATGATAGCATAGCAACCATGCAAGATGCAGTGACAAAAATTAAGCCTGTGGTCGAAGATGGGTGTGGTCCTGCATCTGTCCTTGTGACTAGCAGAGCTGGATCAGTCTGTTGGAGAAAGTGCTCCGCTGTCCCTGCAGTAGGTGGTGGAGAGGGTGGTCCGGGTTATCCAATATGGACGATAGTTTGACGTGTCTTAGTCGCGGACTTCGAGGCCAATTGCCTGCATTCATCATTGCTTATTTTTTGAGTTTGAATGAAGTGTGTTTATGACGCCTTATAGCTCAGTGGTGTCTGGACGTGGGGTTAGACGATTGTGGGTTGTATAGATTCAATCACACAAGACAGCGGTGGTTGTTGCGGTCACACCTGGCGGAGATCTGCACTCTACCGCACCTATTTTGTTGAACTTGTGAGAGTGGAACAACTAACACCGTTATTATATTCCAATTGGTATACAGAGTTTTGACAGTTTACAAGTGTTGAAATTAATACCTTGGCTTGGATTAAACTATAACAAGCCACGTGAGACATAGATTCACCAGACATTATTGTTTACAATGCTGTTGATATGCGTAGCTTGTTTTTGCCATGGTGCACTGCACTGCCACAGATTCAGGTTCCGGATTTTAAACCATCAACAGAGCCAATTGGGTTTTAGAGCACATTATCTAAGAGCTGATTAAAGACACCTGCTGTGACATGACTCTTTGTGGAGTGGTAAGCGGTTCAACAGCATGCTTCAAAGTTTGAACCCCGAATGCAGCAATTCTTCTGCTATGTCTTGCGGGTGAAAGAAGAGAATTTGGATAAAATCAACTCATGTTTTAGAGGGACTTACGTGGCATTGCTGAAACCCACGTACTCGTTTCCCGACATTTTTTTCAGAAAGTTCATGACCTGGAGGGAAAGCAGAGCGACAAGATGATCAACAGGGGTTAATGGTATGAGGTTCAATTCTACCACTGGTTGATGGCCTGTCATTCATTAAAATAGCTGTGTCCCAATTCCATACTACATAAGAATTGTATACAGTATGTACTATACATATATACACACACATATATACATACATATATACACACACATATATATATATA